TATAATATCGAAATTAAGATTCTAGAGCCGTTAGAAGCTTTTCTAATATAATAAAAATAATCGATATTGTTTTTAACATTCTGTGGCCCACACACACTATGTTTCAGTGAGAGGTCGGACATTCTGTCCTCAAACTCCCACTTTCACATTGTGTTGTTGAATCCCATCACCAAAATATGTGCTGTGCATCTTTGATTGCTTTTCTTCAAAGCTAAGGTTCATATATTTGGCAACGAATGCATCTAATGAAAAAGCAGCATGACTTGATGTATTGTCAAATGCAAACAATGCCTAACATTCTAGAAAATGTGTTTCAAATATAGGTATAGCATATTTGTCCACTTGATTTACTAAGTCCTTAGCCTTTCACCATCTATCATTATTTTTTCTGAATGCATAATGACACAGGCTTCTTTAGGAATATCTGATATTTGCATTTTATTGAAAAGGACAAGACGGTCACAAACTTCAGTTAAGAAATCACTAACATGAATTGAACAACCATTATTTTTTTTCATAAAGGTTGCTCTTCATTAAGAATCCAAAAGCTCTGACTTTCATCATAAGTTGAGAAAATGCATTCATTATGTGTGACAAGAATAAGTAGTTATATATTAATTATTATCTAACCAAGTTATTCTTTTCAAATTATCTCCTGAGAAAATAGGCATTCTATTCTTAAGTTCATTCATTCGTTCTAAAAATACTTTTCAATAGGCTACTACATCTTCTCTCTCATGTCCGTCTACATACATTCCCTTTTTTACCTTAGTGTACACATATCCTAACTCTTTCAAATATTTTTTTGCAGTATTGGCATGTATAGTCAGAGATGACACAAATCTAAACCCTAGTAAAATGACCTCATTCATCTATATCATTAACATTTGCAGAGTAATGTCTCACTTATGCTTCTGAACATTTGAAGAAGGATATTCTCATCCTAAAAAAAAACTCCAAATCTTAGCATGATGTCCTCAATGGGAATAAGAAATTTGGTGAGTTGTTACATAATTATGTGCCTAAGAATGAACACATCTGGCGTGATATACTCCTTTTCTTGCTATATCAGTAATAATATTACTTACTTCCATTTTTGAATAGTTGTTTTTTACAAGTTGAAGGTAAAGACAAATGCTATTTAAACACATCTAAATCTCACTATTTGTATTTTCTTTTTTGATATCTAATTCCAGATTTTTGAGATCAGTTAGGATCTTATTATACTAATTGTAACCCTCAATTTCATCATTTGACTGCTCACTAGTACTATCATCTATTTCTACATTAATATTCTCAGTAAATTTCTCAGTACTCCAAAAAGTATCTAACATAAGAGTCTCTTTGCTGCTTCATGCTGTTACTGATTCTTTCTTCTTTTAGTACGATTTGAATTACTAACATAACAATCTGCATCTTTTATGATAGGTATGTTCTTGATAATATTTTTTTGCTGCTTCTTGCAACCTTTTTACAATATTTATAGCTTTATCATTCTCTACCAGCTTATCATAAATAGAAAATTATCAGCATCATCACTAACATTAGAAAGATTATCATTATTGGAGTCATCGTGAATGGATATATCATCAACATCGATTTGCATATTATCAATGTTACTTTTGATATTCCAGTTCATAGTCTTTACTTCATAAGCTTTCCTTAAATGCTTTTTACATTTTGTTAGACACAGCATATTAATAAATCAAAAGTATTAATAAAATCTGACTAGTAAGAGTATTATACATATATTGTTATTTAAAAAAAAAGTTTTTTTATTTTTATAAAAAAAAAAAGTTTCTTCTTACAAAAAAAATAAAGCAAAAAATTTATTATTATGATAAAAAAAAATAATTAATCTAGACTAATTTTTTAATAATGGTAATTGACTATATAATTATGATTGACTATTGTACCTGATATCCATATCATATGTGTGTGTATAGATCAATAAAATTACAATATTTTTTATCACATAACAAAAGATCAACATTTCAAATTTAATCGCTTAAAAAATTTTTTGTTGGGATTAAGTTGTTTACATTATACTTTAGTTAGAGATTTACCAAATATATTATAATGATCATTTCCTAATGTAATAATAAAATTATTAATCAGAATATTCTAAATTTATTCCAAAACAAAAATTGATTAATTAAAATTAGAATTTTTCTCACTTCATAAACTTTAAACTGGCAATATAGTAATAATATATTAATGTCACAGTGAAAAAAATGGTATTAATTTATTTAAACTAAAAATACTTTATTTATATATGTTATGTATCAGATTTATATTGACATTATGTATTACTTAAACTATTTAAAACACTTTTAAAACAAAAAAAAAATTTGAAAAGGTAAAGAATCAAATCACTTTTGCTATATTTCTAAACTTTCAGTACAATCATTATTATCAAGTTTATTATCTGAATTAAATAAAGATTTATCTCTTTTAATATAATTAATAATTTACTATGCTTTTTAAACTTTATTCTATAATATCTTTTTTGAATATTTTCACTTACCTGTTCAAGAAGTATTTCTATTTTGCAAATTATCTTTACTCTGGTTAAATTCATCTTATTTTCTTATACAATCACTTCTTGTTTAGTTATCAGAATTAACTTAAATAAAGGAACTTGATTATTATTATAAAATACCTTAATAATGTAATTTTATTGATTTTGTTTCATTAAATTAGTAAATTTTATTAACTATGCACTTAATTCGTATTCTTCTCTTAAGCTTTTACAAGTAGTCATCAAACTTATCAAATTAATAAAATTTTCTTTTTTTAGACAGACCTGAAATCTCTGACATTTTATAATCACTTTTAAATGAATCCTTAGATTAATCAATTGAAAATCATTATACTCAAATGATTTGAAAAAATTTTTTTGTAACTAAATTTCCATTAATAAAGAAATTCATATAAAAATAAATAAATAATTAATTAAATAAAACAAAATAAATAATTACCTATAAAAAGTTTTTACAATTTTTTGTAACAATTTGTTAATGATGAAATTGTAAAACAGGTGATATTAAACTTTTTAGAACTTTATTTATTTCTTCTAAAATTACATCTAACTTTTGATGCCGGTTAAAAAGTCCTAATTGAGAAATTACAGAATTTTTTTTATAATCTTTCTTACAGACGAATCAAGCTTTATTAGTTATATTTTATTTGCAACTTCTATCTAATGATATATTGGATAATATTGTGCTAACCATACTGGCGAAAAGACTCTTCTTGTAGCCTTCTTTAATAATAGATTATTTTTTTGTTGGCTTTTCTATAATTAACAATTACCTATAGATATATAAATATTTATTAAAAAAAATTAGTTAAAATTGTATCATGTAATTGACTTAAATGTAAAATAAAATAAAAAAAATTAAATATTGTCTGTTTAAATTTTATCTTGTAAAGTTAATCCTTTTGTTCTTTTGCTTATATTAAGTATTCTTTTACCGATAGATTAGAATGATCTTTAACATATGATCATATTAGTTCTATAGCTATAACTTGGTAATAAATATTGCAAACTGAATCCCATGATTTATGGTGATCATAACATTTTTTAAAATAAGAGAATTGATTTTCAGTTTTATATCTCTAATATATTGTAAATAGTTTGAGATTAATATTTCTATTTTGAATAATAAGAAAATTATACAGATAGAATAATAAAGATTTTAAATATATAAAATATAAGCTTACTAATTTAATTTTATATATACCTGAAGCATATTTATTTCTTTATGCAATTGTTTAGGATTGAGAATCAGCCATAGATATTTCTCCTTTACCTTGATTATATGATAATATAGAATACTATCACACATTACATATCTATTTACATTTTCTATCCTTAATTTCTAATATTTTCTTAATATAAAGGAGAATTTTTTTAATATTCGCAGTTATATTAGAATTAATGTTAAAAGGATCAAGAATATAGATTTTCAGAAAATTAATTCTCTCATCAGCAAAAGTTTTTTGAGTAACACTGATTTTAATACAATAGATAATGGTACTTCCTTTTCAATATTATAAATTTTAAAAATTATTGATTAATCTGTTATATCTTTCTCTAATTTAGCATGTTGTTTTAATAATTTTACTAATATAGGTAGATGAGATCAGTGCTTTAGACAAACTTATTTTTGATTATCAATATTTTGTTTTTCACAGGTAAGATATTTTTTGTTGCTATGATTATTTGATTCTATATTAACTATAAGAGAATTAATTTTGTTAGTTATGAATAATTTTTTTTATACAACAAATTAAGAATTTTGAAAAAAAAGGCATATAGTTCATTATTTATTTAAAGCTTCTTTTATTTTAGAAGTAAGATCAAAAAAGATCTTTATATTATAGCTTACTAATAGAACTGGAAACCTAAAATATATTAGTATATTAAATATAATTTTATGAGTCTATATTAAAAGTAACAAACTAATGATAATGTGAAATATTATAGTGTTAAATCCTCAATTGAGATAATTTTTTATCCCCTTTATTCATTATCAAATGCCAAAAATAAAAGCCCTTTTGGTAAAGATTCTTTCTTTTCAGATAAATTATTCAGTCAATTCTGAAAATGAAAATAGCTTTCTGAATTCGTAATATAATTGTTAATATTAATAATTATTTTTGATCATACTATAGAGTATTTAATAGCTGATGCTATAAGATTTATTTTTAATATATATTTATGACTCTTTTATAAAATTTCTCAGTTTTTTCAGAAGCTGTATTAATATTATTATATATTATTATTTAATAAACTTTACAATTACTTGATTACGTTTACTTAGTCATATATGCGGAGTATAATTTAATAAATTTTTTAGAAAAAACCTATTCTGATCTTCAATCAAAGATTCAATATTCTTATACAAAAGTTCTCATTCAATTGATGTAATATTAATAACTACTTATATGCGCTTATACTAATCAGAGTATTAAGAATTCTATTGTTTGATAAGATTTTCATTCACTTCACATTTTTTACATATAAATCTTTAAATTAATATCTCATTATAATATTTTTTTAATCGCATCTTCAATTCTGACATTTTTTGTCTTTGATCTTTTATTTATTATTATAATTCTGCAATATATTTATTATTTTCTATTTATCTCTTTTTAGTAATTCTTCAACTCTTTCAAATATTTCTAATAAGCATGAATCTTCTAAAACTTCTAATAAGCGTAAAACTTCTAATGGTATGAAACTTTTGGTAAATATAAAATTTCTGATAAATGTAAAACTTTTGAAAGGCATAAAGCTTCCAATAAATATGAACTTTTTTATAAGTGTGATTTATTGACTTCTTGATAGATATTAGTATCATACAAAATATTATTATTAATCTGAATTCTTTTGTTTTGCATAAATAGAATCATCTGAAAGTTATTGATAAAAATGATTAATAGATATAACTTAGTTGTAATGTTTTTTATAAATAGAATAGAAAAATAAAAATTTATAAGTTATGATATAAAATTATGATAAAGTGTAAGCTTCTTAGCTATTTTTTGATATTGACATATCTTCAAGTTTATTTCTCCTTTATTTCATAAGCTTTAATTCTAATTTACTATATTTACTAATTAGGTTAACAAATAGACATGAAAGATTTTTAGCTCTTTATTTTGTTTTAATTAATTTATCAGTTTGTAACATCTTTCTTAAATTCTGATACAAAAATTTTTTTAAAAATAAATTTAACAAAAATTAAATGTAATTTCTTATGTATTTTCAGTTCTTATTTACTTTGTAAAAAGAGTTAATTATAAAAAAGTATTAGCTAATTATAAAACTTTAAAGTTTTCAATTTTCTTCAAATATATCCCAATAAAAAATTTGATATAAAAATTCCATAAAAATATTAAGTTTTATAACATATAACTTTTATGGAAAATCAGT